TGGCATTGGCCAAGTTCCAGACAGTGGCTAAAGAACCAGCTTCTTGACCAGAGGGACCCCAGGAGGCAGGGACAGCTCTACGCCCAAACCCAGCAGGAAGTAGTTTCAGAAGCTGAGACCATCGTCCCTAACCCCAAAAGATTTTGGTCCCATCTGTTTAAGGGGGAATGATGTGGTGCTTGGGTGCTTATGTTTGGGTGCTTATGTTTGGGTGCTTGTACTTGTCCTGTCCCTGACAGTTTTCTCCCCAGCCCAAGGACCCTGTGCCTAGCAGTTACTCATGAGTGGGCCCCAGCAAGACCCTTATCTCTCTCCCTGGTGCAGTTCCAAACAGCACCTGAAGGGTTTATTAGTTTAAACTGGCTTTGCACTGGGTCATAAAGACATTCTTACCCACTACTCTACTATCCTACCACCCTACCTCATTATCTACATCCTGGGCTACTCATTAACTGTATTCTAGACTTAAGACATATGTATACTCCCTACATCTATCTTGTCAAACAAGACATTGATTGGTGGCAGACTGGACAACTCTCAGTTACCCTGAACTCTGGTTGACTTAATGACATAGCAGGCCTAAAACCACACCTCCATGTGGCCCCCCTTGTGGGCTTTTCCTAATGAACTCTGGGTAAAACACCTGCGCAGTAGGTACAAGAAGTGCATGTTCTTTTTAGAACTGACCACTCCTTCACCACTCCCTAATCCCACCCTGAATCCCCTAGTTAGCATATTTGGCACATGTTTTATTGTATTTCATCCTATATAAACTTTAACTGTACCTCTCTAAGGTTGCAGAATCCTTTAAGAATCCTTGCCCGCTGAAAAGTGTAACAATAAACTTTGCCCCTTTGGCTTAAAGAATGCTTGAGTCTGTGAATTCATTCTAGATGACCCATGTACTTCAGTCTTTGAGGGGTCACAACCTCTCAGCCTCTCACACCGCAACACTTATGGCACAATAATATTCCATCATCTTCATACACTACAATTTCTTCCTCCATTTCCCAATGGGAGAGCCACTTTAGTTAACAATTTGTAGCTACCACAAAAAAGACATGCTAGATTCTGATACATACAGGTCCTTTTCTTCTTTCTTTGATCTCTTTCTGGCATAGACCTAATAGTGGTATAGCTGTGTGGATTACAGTTGAAGAATTTTTTGAGCATCGTTCCCAATTGTCTTCTAGAATGGCTGGACCAATTCACAGCCCAAACAGTCCACACCCTCACCAACATCTGTCACTTTCCTCTTTTGCGACCTTTGCTCAACTTTGCTGACGTTATTATTTGAATTGATTTTACTTGACTCTCCAGAGTTCTCAAAGTAGACCGGCATGTCATCCGCAAAAGGCTACAGTCCTGCTGCTTCTTCCCAGCCTATGTTCATTTCCTCAGTTTCTCTGTCTTGTGCTAAAGGCTTAAGACATGCTCGCTGCCTGACTGAGCTAACGCTGCTTCCTTTACGCCTCAATGAGCAACTGTTGTCTCTGGCACTGCAGGGTTTGGCCTCCCTCCCTATGCCCTCTCTCTATACCTGCCTATCACAAGCACCTTCTGGACCTTCTCCTGCCCACCACTAACAGGTGAGTTACCCCTTTCTAGGATGAAAAGCCTTAGGCGGGCATCAGAAATGGCTCTCCTAGGCCTGTGATCATGGGACTCATCCATCTCACAGACCTGCAGAATTCAATTCCATTGTACTCACATTTATTATGCACCTACCATGGGCATGGTGTCTCTGTATAAATGACACCTCAGGTATGTTTCAGCTTTGCATACATGAACATATTTTTTAACTTAATTCAATCCAACAAGCAATTATTAAGTGCTTACTATATGTCAGGCACTGGGTGCTAGGCATATGGAAACAAATATGAAAGGGACCCTGGTCCCAGGAAGCTTAAGTTTTACTGAGTGGGATGCAGCATACATACGTAATACAGGATATAAATCCTGTAGTATCAAGAATGATCAAGAGATCGAGAGTGAGCACATTTGGGAGAACCAGAAAAAGTCACTTGTAGGAGACAGTGCCTGAGCTGGGCTTAGAAAGAAGCTGGGGTTCCTAGGAGGTGAGATGGAGGAGACCTCATGGCCTAGGGGACAGTGTGGGCACAATCTGCCCACCCACTCTGGGAAGGCCTCTCTGCCATGAACAGGGGCACCATCTGTAAAGGGAGTGGCAGAGGCCCCCCAGATACCCAGCTCCTGGGGGGAACAGCAGAGAAGCTGGGTAGAAAAGCTTCAGCCTTCCTGGGGCAAGCAAAAACTTCCATGCAAGGAAGCTGCAGCTCTCCCGTGGTGATGGCCAAGCTTGTTATCCCAATGTTTGGACTGGGTGCTTGACTTCTAATGGTCTGGATCAGGGGCCGGGATGTGGTTTGGCCTGGGCTATGGGTATTGGGAATGTTTGCTGTTGTAACAGGGATTGCCTCTGGCCTCGCCCTCTAAGGGCAAGGCCTGGTATATGTTAGATCCCCCAGAGTTCTCCAGGATCCTACTTGAGCCCCCACTGATTATGTCCTCTCACTTTTACTGGCCCAATGACTAGGGTCCCAGTTCCATGTAACCCCCGATGTCCGATGAGCTTTTACACAGGGATATTTATGTCAAGGCTATAGCAAGAGCAAACACATACACACGTCCTCCAACACGTCTAGGACATAATTGCCCCCACTAGACCGCCTCGGTCCTGGGGAGGGCAAGGGGTTTAGGCTCACAGCTTAGAGTAGTTCCTTCCTAGCATCAGTCCCACCAAGCTCCAGTCCAAAGCTCCCCTGGGCTAGCCTCCTTGAACTTCTGTTCCTCAGGGCTTCCCTGCAGGGCTGGCTTGGACACCCTGCCTGCCCTCCCGGACTTCTGGTCCCCCAGACTCTAGCTCCGGGACAGGAGACTCCACTTCCTGCATCTACAAGGGGAAGGGCCGAAACTCGCTGCTTCTCGGGGCTATGTGGACTACAAGGGCAGAGGAAGGAAGGAGGCGGACTTCAGGTCATTCCTCCCTTGCTCCGAGATCTGCATCCTTCACCCTCGAAGAAGAATGCAGTAAAAGCCCCGAGTGTGCTCTGTCTGGCCATTTTCAAGACGCCGACATTTCCAGCGCCACAGCCAATGGAAAATGGATGCTTCCTACCACGTGGTAGGCCAACACACAACATCCACGCATGCTCCAGTCCTCCAGTATCCCAGAAGCACTTCCTCCATCATCTTCCACCGAGACCATGCCAGGTTACGTGGTCTAGGCATGCATCAACCCCTTCTTACGTTTTTTATGAATTTTCTCAATTTTATCTTGCCTTTCTATGTTAGAGAAAGTGTCCATTTCCACAATGAACATGCGGGAATCATGTAATTGACAGTAAAATAGTTTTGTCACTTGAGGAAGAAAATCATAGGGACTGGGAGATCGTGCACATTCATTTGGGTGCCCTGAGCCTGCAGGAGCCTGTAAAAGCTTAGGAGCAGCTGAGGGCGCTCCACTGGGGAAGCAGAGGGGTTTGATAAGCCCATCTATTTAGGTCCAACAAATACCTTAATGTCACAGCAGATGAAAATGAGGCCCATCCAAACAGAAGAGGCCCCAGGTCTCACAACTAACAAGCACCAAACCCCAGGTCTATTATTTGAGAGCTGGTGGGCGGAAGTAGCAGCAGGATTCCAGGTACAGATACATCATGATTTGGGATATGAGGATAGCATTGTAAACAGGACAGAGAATGGACCTACTTGTGGCATCTAGGCAGCACAGTGGATAGAATGCAGGACTGGGAACCATAAAGATTTTAGTTCAAAGCTGCCCTCAGACCCTTACTAGCTTTGCATACCTGGACAAGTGACTTAACCTTTATCAGCCTTGGTTTTCTCATCTGCAAAGTGGGAATAATAAAAGCACCTTCCTTCCAGGGTTTTTCTGAGGATATGGCAAGAGGATATCCATAAAACACGTTGTAAACCTTAAAAATGCTATGTAAATGCTTGCTGTTTTTTTGTTTGTTTAAATAGTTCCTTGGAGAGTAAACTCCCTGCCCAATAAATTCCAGTGACTCCCTGTCACCTCCAGGATCAAATATAAAACCCTCTGTTTGAAGTTCAAAGCCCTTCATAACCTGCCTTCACCCCGCCCTTTCTAGTTTTCTTATACCTTATCTCTATACTTGACCCTCACCCCCTTATCTCTGTGATACAGAGACACTGACCTCCTGACTGTTCTAGGAGCAAGACCCTCCATGTCTTGGTTCCTAGCAATCTCTCCAGCCCCACACCTGGAATGCTCTCCCTTCTCCACTGGCTGCTGACCTTCCTGGCTTCCTTTAAGTCCCAACTAAAATCTCACCTTCAATAGGAAGCCTCCCCCAAGCCCTGTTAATTCCAGGGCCTTCCCTCTATTAATTGTCTCCTGTTCATCCTGTATAGTATGTATACTGTATACAGTATATTTGTTTGCATGTTAGCTGGACCATCAGATTGTAAGCTCTTTGAAGGCAGAGCCTGTCTCTTTCCTCTTTTTGTATTCCCATACTCAGCAGAGTGCCTGGCACACAGTAGGTGCTTAATAGATGCTTATTGATTAACTGACAAAATAATAATATTATCCTAGATCTAGAGCTGGAAGTCACCTTAGGGGCTATTAAGTCCATTGCCTTTGTTTTAAAGAGGAAGAAACTGAGGCTCCGGTGGGGAAATGACAGGACCAAGGTGACCCAGACCGTATGTATTAAAGATGGGGCCTGTATTGAAGACTTTCAAAGCCGAATCGCTACCCATCAGGCCACGCTTCCTCCCCAGGCCTATATACGTATGATTTTTAATCCGCCTTCAGAATTTCCCCATTTCCAGTGTTTACATTGACAACGGAAAGGACGCATGCGCCGAACGCCAGCTAGACAAAGGAGACGAGCATTCCTCCGAGTTCGCCTAGAGAGGAAGGCACGCCGTGCGCGGAGCGCGGTTCCGCCCCGGAAGTCTTGCTAATACTTCCTGTCAGGCTTTTGTTAATTTCCTTTGATTTCCGGTAGGGAGCTCGGAGCCTTTGCCGGGTTTTGATGGCCGGTAAGAAGAGAAAGGGAGTTTGTTTACTTGTTTGTTTCCTTGTTGGAGGGGGAGGGAGTGCGGCAGACGGTTGAACAACAGCTAGGTTTTCTTTGGCGGCTTCTGCTTCTGGAGTCGGATCGTTCTCGGGCCTGACACCGAAGGCCGGAGGAAGCATTAGAGGAAGTTACTGTGTTCATTGAAACAGCCTTAATCAAGCAGGTGTTCATCCGACGCCGGCTAGGTGTCCCGGGGGCGCGCTGGGTTCTGGGGAAACAAAGACCCACTTGAAACAGAGGAGTAGTGCTAGTGTGGGATGGTTTGAGGATAACGGACCAAAGGGGAGACGGCGGGGTCCTCAACTCTTAGAGGATCCCGGATCTAGGCCAGCTAGTACAGATAGGGAAACCTTTGTTTCCTTGTGAAGTGGTTCAGTGGATAGAACACCGGATGTGGAGTCGGAAAGACTCAAGTTCAAGTCCAGCCTCAGACACTTACCAGCTGTGTGACCCTGGGCAAGTTTCCTCATCTGTAAAATGGGAGTAATAACAGCACCTACCTCCCAGGGTGATTCTGAGGATCAAAAGAGAATCTCATACATCCATTTAGCCCACATTTCCAATCAGTGGTCAAATCTCGTCCTTTCTAAAGCCACAACACTTGAAAAACACTTAGCACAGTGCCTGGCACTAGTAGGTGTCTAATAAGGGTTAGGTCTTACTATTAGCTATTATTTTACAGATAGGGAGACCTCTTTGTTTCCGTATGTGGCCCAGGGAGGGGAGAGACTTGCCCAATGTCACACAGGTAGGAAATGGCAGAGATGTGATTTGCTCCCAAACCTACTGTCTCCAAGTCCAACTGTCTTTCCACCATACCATGGGTGCCCCTTTTCTGGTTCCATCCACCACAGAGACCAATATAAAGAACAAGCAGTCATGTGGGTTGCTTGGTCCTGGAGAAGATTAGAGAAAATTTACTTCTCTCCTGAGGTTATTGCCATGGGGCAATAATAGACATATTGCTTGTGCCCTCAAACACTTTAGATGTGTTCATTGGTATTGCTGAAGATTTTTCTCTTTCTTTTTTGCATCTTTCTCATAAGGGATGGTTCCCGGGGTATGGGAAATGAAGGTGATGTAAAAACCAGAGATCAACCCATCAACAATCAGATCAACAAGCATTTATTAAATGCTGACTACAAACTAGGCACGGTACTTGGCCCAAAGATACAGAGACAAAAGTAAAACAATCCCTGTTCTGAAGGAACATACATTCTAATGGGCGGAATAACACGTATACGTATAAGTATCTGCAGAATATACACAAAATGAACACCAGGTAGTTTAGGGACATGGTAAGTTTAGCAACTGAGGGACCTAGGAAAGGTGTGGAACTTGGAAGAAGTTGGCCCTTGAAGGCAGGAAACCAAAGGATTCGAAGACATGGAGGTGAGGAAGGAGTTATAGGCATGCAGATAGATGATACAGGATTGTATGTAAGAGCACCCAATAGGCCAGCATGGCTGGACCACAGAGTTGGAAAGGGGGAGTAAGGTATAAGAAGACTGGAAAACGAAAAAAGAAACCAGACTAGGTAGAGATTTAAATGCTAAACAGAGAAGTTTATATTTTATCCTCAAAGTGACAGGAGTTTGTTGAAGTCAGGGCAGGGGGAGAGTCACTTGATCAAACTTGTACTTTAGGAATATAACTTTGGCAGGATGGTTTGGAATGCAGAGGAGCATTGAGACAGGGAGACCTAGTGGGCTATTGCAGTAGTCCAGACAAGAAGTTGGGGTTGTGGCTGTTGCCCTAGGAAAGGACTATGGAGGAAATGTCATGGAGATAGAAAGGAGAAGATTTGGCTATTGATTGGATGTGTGGGATGAGTGCAGAGTTGAGGATTGTACTGAGTTTACAGACCTGGGTGACTGGAAGGAGAAGGAGGATGGAGGCCTTGACAATAATAGGGAAGTTGTTGTTTGTTTTTTTGTTTGTTCCTTTGTTTTTAGTGAGGCAATTGGAGTTAAGTGACGTGCCCAGGGTCGCACAGCTAGTAAGTGTCAAGTGTCTGAGGTCGGATTTGAACTCAGGTCCTCCTGACTCCAAGCCCAGTGCTCTATCCACTGTGCCACCTAGCTGCCCCAATAATAGGGAAGTTTGAGAGGGGTGTGGGTTTGGGGGAGGGAGTTCTGATTTTGGTCATGTTGCCTGTACAATGCTTATGGGATACCCAGGTGGAAATATTCAATAGGCAGTTGGTGATAGAGGACTAGAATTTGAGACAGACAAAGACCGGAAATGTAGGTCTTGGAGTTATGTGTATAGATAGTCATTGAATCCGTGGTAGCTGACTAAGTCACCCAGAGAGAGTGTAGAGAGAAAATGAAAGGAGGGCCCAGGACAGAGCCTTGGAATACGCTCAGATGCACTAAACATGACATGGATGGTGAATCCTTTTTTTTTCTCTCTTTTTTTTTTTTAGGCAAATGGGGTTAAGTGACTTGCCCAGGGTCACACAGCTAGTAAGCATCAAGTGTTTGGTCTGAGGCCGGATTTGAACTCAGGTCCTCCTGACTTCAGGGCCGGTGCTCTATCCACTGTGCCAGCTAGCTGCTCCGATGATGAATCCTTAAAAGAGACTGAGATGGAGTAGCTGTAGGGGTCAAAGGAGAATGGAGTGAGAATAGTGTCCTGAAAACCCAGAGAGACGAGGTTATCCAGGAGGAGAGGTGATCAGCAGTGCCAAATGCAGCAGAGAGGTCAAGGGTGAGCATTCGATTTGACAATGATCATTTTGATCATTGGTAACTTTGGAGAGAATAATAAGATTGGAAGCCATATTGCAGGGGGTTAAGTGGGTGAGAGAATTGGAAGTCGAGACATGTAGTATGTAGATGGCTTTCTCAAAGAGTTTGGATGGAGAAAGGAAGGGCAATAGAGAATGGTAATCGGCAGGAATGATAGGATCTAATGAGAGTTTTTCAAAGGTGGAGATTTCTTGGTAGGTAGCGGGGGTGGGGGTAACAAAGATTAGACTAGGATGACAGTTGTGGCAATCTGCAGGATCTGGAAGGGAACGGAGTCTGATCGAGGGCACGTGTAGGGCTGTTGGCAATTAGAAAAATGCCTTTGGAAAAGCCCTGTGATGTTCCCCTTGAAGAAGCTTCCTCTGTCCACACAGATCTGCAGCTGCTGTTCACCTCATAGTTTTAGAGAGCTGCAGATCTGTATGGACAGAGAGGTTGAGGGACTTGTCCAAGGTCACACAGCCAGAATGGGTCAGAGGGAAGGAAGGAGGGAGAGAAGAGGAAGAAAGGAAAAGAAAGAGTTAATAGGGAGTGAGGACCCCAGATATTGGAGGAGATTCTGGCCATGCTACTGGAGTCAAGTCACTTAACTCTCAGGCTGTTTGCTTATCTTTTAAGAGTCATTTAGGGGGCAGCTAGGTGGTGCAGTGGATAGAGCACCGGCCCTGGATTTAGGAGGACCTGAGTTCAAATCTGGCCTCAGACACTTGATACTTATTAGCTGTGTGAGCCTGGGCAAGTCACTTAATCCCAGTTGCCTCATCAAAAAGCAAAAAAAAAAAAGTCGTTTGCAAGAGATGCCTTCTAAAGGCCCTTCTACTCCTGACATCTTGATGATTTTTTCATGACTTCAAGCCCACAGGCCCAAAATAACTAAATCTAACTGAACATTTATTAAACATCAACTATGCTAGGGAAAGTTCAGACAGTCCCTTCCTTGTAGGGAGGGACAATCTACTAGGAGGCTAGGAGACACCAGTGCAGATAGAGATGATACGTGATGCTGCATTTAGAGCAAGTTTAAGGACCTCCTACATAGAGGAGCGGTATGATCTAATGCATGATACCTTGTTTCAAAGAGAAAATAAGGTTAGTCTGGCATGGCCGGGTTTTTGTGAAGCCAGGCTGGTTTTGTGATTACCACTTCCTTTTTCAAATGTTCACTAAGCATTCCTTTAATAATATGTTCTAGAATTTTGCCAGGAACTGAAGTCAAGCCCACTGGGGAGTCTGCTCTTCCCTTCTTATAAACCCTGTTCTGCCTTTTTTTCCCCCCAAAATCGAGCTATTTGTCTTTCTCTGATCCTGTGGAGAATGGGAGATGTGCCATGATTTCTCAGCATGGCTCAGCAGCTATCTCTGCCAACTGGTTTCAGTGCCCTGGGCCAAGTGACTCAAATTTGTCTAGGGCAGTGAAGTACTTTCTTATTGTATCCCTCCCTAATGATCTTGGGTGTCAACTCCCCATTGAAGGTTTTCGTTCTGTCCTTACCATCCCAAAGATCATTCTCCTTGGCTGGGAAAATCAGCAAAATAAATGGAGCAGCTCTGCCTTTTGGCTCCCTCTCCTAAGCATTGTTCTTCTTGGATCTAAGGTCATCGCACCCCTGGACATGACCTTTCTCATTCCTTCTTTCTTTTTAAAACAAGTCTTACTGATGTCTTTCTGTTTTTATAGCATGATCCTTTCTAGATATACTCTTTCCTACCTGCTCTTCCTACAAAGAAAACCAACCGCTATAGTGATCGCATTTGACAGTGTGTGTGACATTCTCCTGGTTAGGGACCCCTGGCCTAGCTCCTGCGGAGGAGTGGGTTATGGTTCCTTGTCTGGTCTCTGCAACCCTCTTTGGCTTTCCAGGTGCTCAGAGTTCAGTGCCACTAAGACATGGTCCTTTCATCTATATTGGGGAGGTCACTGTGTATTATTGTTCTCCTGGTTCTGCTTATCTCACTTGCTTTAGCTCATACATGTCTTCCCATGTACCTTGAGATTCCTCATAGTTGCCATTTCTTACTGCCAGGCTCTCAAAATGTGAACAGGGCAGTAGCACAGAAAGAAGCAGCAGTGACGACTGTCCCCACCCCCAGCTTGGTGACCAGTTGTACAAGTGATATCAGTGAGCAGGGGAGATGGTGGCTGATAATGGGTACAGAGCTATCCTGGGAATCAGGAAGACCTGAGGGCAGGTCCCTCCTGCCGCACTTGGCTCTATAACAGTGGATAAGTCTCTTGACCTCTCAGTACCCCAGGCAACTCTAAGACTAGAAGCTGTAGATCTACGTAGGTAAAGGGAATTGCCTAATGAAATTACAGGACTTTCCCCCTCCCCCCCCCAAAAAATGGTGAGTGAGCAGAAATGTGTGTCCACCTTTCACTGAAGGCCAAGGATGGGTGTCATAACACTCCCCCTGTTGATGGTAATACTGGAAAGAGTGCTAAATTTGGAGTCAGAAGGCCAGCACTGTCATTTACTAGTCATAGGGACCTTGGGTACATCTTTGAACCACTCTGAGCCTCAGTTTCGTCATCTAGAAAAGGAGGGGGTTGGCCTAGGCCAGGAGTGGGGGAACCTGCAGCCTTGGGCTGGATTGCTGGAGGAGCAGTGGCCAGAAGAAGGAAGGTCTGTTCTGTTCTGGACAGACTGTATCTAGAGCAGTTTTTCTTGCCCTGGGTGCCACTTGCAGAGAGCACACAGCAGCCAGGATTTTGATGGGACTTGAAATTCGATGTGGATCATTCAGCTCTGGAGAAGAATCGATCACCAAGCATGTATTAATAACATTAAGCAGTGCATTAACTAGCACTATGCTAGTTGCTGGGGCCAGGAGACTTCATGCGGAGCACTGCTCAAGGGTGCCAGTGAGCCAGAGCTGGAGAGAATAGCCAATGCACTGGATGACAAGAGGCGGCATCCAATGAGGTCCTGGTGATCAGTACGTTGGACTGAGGATGCTAGGTAAAGATAACACGTAACATCTTACTGGAAGACCGAAAGGCAACCTCTCCAGTACAGGCTAAAGTTAGAGCACAGGTGGTTTGTCTGAAAAGGATTCTGGGCCTTTTCAGAGACCTCAAGGTCACTGTAAGTCAGTAGCGTGATGGGACCTCCAAATAGCCCCTGGGAATTGAGGCATAATTGCCAGGAATGAGGAGGTGAGAACCTCTGTCCTGTGCCCTCAGCAGACCACTTCTGGAGTCCTCTGTTCACTTCTGGGCACATTAATAAGCCGAGAAGAGACTGGAGGAAGAGACTTAGGTCCATGTCATATGAGCATTGATTGAAGGAGCTACAGAAGAAAAGCCTCAATGGGACATTATAACCTTGATCAGTCAGGTGTTTGAAGGACTGTCACTGGAGGAGGTATTAGATTTGTTCTGATTGGCCCCTGAGAGCAGAAACAAGGCACTTGTAAGTTGTGGGGGTCCATTTTGGCTCGCCAGCAATTCCACCTGCCCCAAAGTGGAGTGAACTGTTCCAAGAGGTCTTCAGGCATGAGCAGATGGGTACTCGTGCAGGCAGGCAGCACCTGCTTTGTGTCAGGAACCTTGCTAAATGCTGGGGATAGAAAAGAGGCAAAAGGCAGTCACTGCCCTCAAGGAGCTGACAATCTAACGGACAAGACAACTTGCAGACAAACATATACAAAGCAAGCTATGTGCGGGATAAACTGGAGATAATTAATAGAGGGAAGGCAGTAACACTGAAGGGGCTCAGGAAAGGCTTCCAGCAGAATGTGAGGTTTGGGCTGGGACTTGAAGGAAGCCAGGAAACAAAGATGAAGAGGGGGAGAATTGCAGGCTGTGTGAATGCCAGGAGTCAGGAGATGGAGTGGTGGGAGGGAGGGGCAGCCAGGTGGCCTGTCTCACTGGATGGCACTCTGCTGGTGTGAGAAGGTGGAGGGGTCAGGTTCTGAAGGGCTTTGAACTCAAGACAGAGGATTTGGGGTTCGATCCTGGAGGTGATGGGGAGCCATCCCTGGAGTAGGGGGAAGGGAGAGTGAGAGTGTCGTGTGCTTTAGGAAAATCTTTTCCACAGCTGAGTTGGAGGATGGCCTAGAGTGGCAGAGAGACCTATGAGAAGGCCATGGCAGTTGTCCTCATGTGGAGTGATGAAGGCCTGCACCAGAGTAGTGGCCATGCCATAGATGAGTCAGAGGGAAAATCAACAGGTCTTGGCATCAGATTGGATCTGGGGGGAAGAGATAGGAAGGAGTTGAGGATGACTTCTAGGTTGTGAAGCTGGGGGCCTGGGGGGCTGGGAGGATGGTGGTGCCCTCAGCAGGAATAAGGAAGTTAAGAAGAGGAGAGGGTTTGGGATTAGGACTAGGCTTGGGGAGGCAGCAGAGAGCCTGCACTAGCAAGGATCAGGAGAATATTGCTGTGCTCATCTGGGTAGGGATGAGGGCCAGAGGCTGGCCTGAATTTCCTCCCCAAGACCCCAGGTGTGTGATCCACGGGGCATACAGTGGAAGTATAAACTGGGACAAGGTAGAAACTCAGGTCCCAGGGCTGCTAGCCTCCCACAAGGCTGCTTTTTTTCTCCTCAGGGAAACTCCTATATCCTTTCACTCCAGATTGGATTACAGTGGCCTAGGGGACAACAAGTGGGAAGATGCAGAGCACTTTAGAGGTCAGAGGAGAGGAAGAAAAAGGTGGGAGGGTCAGGAGGTGGGCAGAATCAGCCTTGCCCGACTAAGATATTTTTCCTGAAGAAAGCTCTGTCTTCATCCCAAGAATAGACAGAGAATGGGACTCCAGGGAAGTAGGAGGTCCCTGGGACTCTTTTCCTTAAAGAAATGGACCCCTGGAGGGATATGAGCCTTCTACTGTTGAGAAGGATTTCTCAGTTGCAGCTCTTGCTTCCGAATGGGTTGGAGGTGGGGGAGGGGGGAAAGGTACCCTGTGGTTTTTAGTGAGTGAGCCAAGCTGAAAAAAAAAAAATCTGAACTCATCTATTTGCTCCTCAGGTTCCGGTACTCCTTCCTTAAGGGCCTACAGGAGACCAGCTGATGGCTGGCCCCAGGTGAGACATGGTTCTGTTGTTCTCCCCAAGCTCATGGCCCTACAGGCTCATCTTCCCCCCTCAGCTTCTCTTTTTCTTTTAAAAAATTAGTTATTACAAGTTATATTAAGCATCAGTATAACCAGTTATAGTTGCTTTGCAATTTTATATATGTATATACATATTTATATATATATATATTTCGAATTACTTGATTTTCTTTGTAATACTGTTTTGTTTTTTAATTTTATACATTTAAAAAACATTCTGAGGAGTCTGTAAGTTTCACTGGACTGCAGAGACATCTAAGGTTACTTCAGTATTCTTTGTCCATCCCTTCTCTCTCTTTCCCTCCCTGCCCTGTGTCTCCATCCACCACCCCTCTGTCTCTTCTTTCTCTCTCTCTCCCTCCCCCTTCATCTTTCTCCCTATCTCCCATCTCTCTTTCTTTGTCTTCCTTTCTTTTTCTCCCTCTCTTTCCTTCCTTCCTCCTCCGCCCTCTTTCAAGCATTTATTTTCTCTTCCTCCCACCACCATTAAAAAGAAAAAAAAATCAGCGAAATCAACCATTGTAACAAATGGCATAGCCAAGCAAAACAAATTCCTGCTTTGGCCACATCTCATTCTGTATATGTACCCCTTGTCTCTCTGTCTCAAGAGGTAGCCAGCCAGCTTCCTAATCAGGCCCCTGCAATCAGGCTTGGCCATTGCATTGATCAGAGCTCTAATTTCTTTTCAAAATTGTTCCTTTTCACAACATTATTTCTACTGTGTAAATTGTCCTCCTGGTTCTGCTCACTTCACTTTGCATCAGTTCATATAAGTCTTCCCAGGTTTCTCTAAAATCATTCCGATCATCATTTCTTATAGCACAGTAGTATTCCATCACAATCATATACCACAACTTGTTTAGCCATTCCCCAGTTGATGAACATCCCCTCAGTTTTTAATTCTCTGCCACTACAAAAAGAGCTGTTATAAATATTTTTGTACTTATAGGTCCTTTTATTTTTCTTTGGATCTCTTTGGAATACAGACCTAGTAGTAGTCTTGCTAGGTCAAAGGGTATGCACAGTTTTCTAGCCCTTTGGACATAGTTCCAAATTGCTGTCCAGGATGGCTAGTCTAATCCCCAACTTCACCAACAGTGCATGAGCGTGCCTTCTTTTCCACATCCCCTTCTACATTTGTCATTTTTCTTTTCTGTCATGTTAGCCAATTTGATGGAAGTGAGGTGAAACCTCAGAGTTGCTTTAATGTGCACTTCTCTAATTATTAGTGATTTAGAATATTTTTTGTGTGTGACTCATAGCTTGGATTTCTTCCTTTAATTACTATCACCTCATAACCTCTGACCACTTATCTGTTGGGGAATGGCTCTCAGTCTTATGCATTTGAATCAGTTCCTTTACTTAGAAAACCATCCCTGAGCTCCTCTTTCTAGCAGCTTCCATCGCCAATGCCTGTCCTGTTTGCTGCCTGGTGCCTTTGCTTCCATGGCAATAGCCTGCTCACACGTGACTGAAGAGACACTGGGTGGGCTGTTCTGGAAAGGCAGCCTGGCCGTAGGAGAAACGCGGCAGGCTTGGAGACAGCTGCATATCCTTGGACAAGTTTCTTCCTTCCCCTGAGCCCATTTCTTCATCTGTAAAATGGGGTTCACAGTCCTTCCTGTACATGATTATTATGAGGCCCAGATGCTGTAACATGTCTAATTCACTATCAAAAGATTACCTGTTATTATCTTCTCCCTTCCTCAACCTTCATTTTATTTTTATTTATTTATTTATTGTTAGGCAGTTAGGGTTAAGTGACTGTTATCTTCTCCCCTCCTCCGCCCTCATTTTATGTTTATGTATTTATTTATTTTTTAATTTTTAGGCAATTGGGGTTAAATGACTTGCCCAGGGTCACACAGCTAGTAAGTGTCAAGTGTCTAAGGCCAGATTTGAACTCAGGTCCTCCTGACTCCAGAGACGGTGCTCTATCCACTGTGCCACCTAGCTGCCCCTTTCCACCCTCATTTTATAGTAAGGAGATAAGAGCAGAGAGTTCATTGATGGCAAATCTGGATCAACAATCCAGGTCATTATTCTTTCCACTCCTATTATGATTTTTAACTTCAGATTTTTTTTCACTGCTATTCCCTCTGAGTACATGAAGCTGGCCACTTGAGGTTAAATGACTTGCCTCAGTTTACACCTCAAGTTCATGGCAGAGGCAGGAGTAGAAGACAGCCTCCTGACTCCTGCCAGGGTTGGTGACAGCCCTGCCTCTTTCTAGGACCCGGGGAGACTTCTCCCTCACTGTCTTTCCTGCCTACTAGCTGCCATTGTCAGAGTTTCTAACTGCTGGAGGCCCCTTCCTCTGCTCTCTGACATCTGCAGGCTCTGTCCTCATCCTGAGGTAAAGTTATGGCATTGCCTTTGGGTCAGCAGGCACCTGTTATTCTAGGAACTGGTGACGTTCAGCGACGTGGCGGTGTATCTCTCGAAGGAGGAATGGGGCCAGCTGGACCCTTCTCAGAGAGCCCTCTACAAAGATGTGATGCTGGAGAATTATGGGAATGTAGTCTCACTTGGTAAGGACTTTGCCCCTTGCACACTTCTCATGCTAGGTCTCAGAATCAGTCCCTGCTTCTTAAACATAGGGAGCTAAGCTGTACCCTGTGGGCCTGGGCCTGCTCAGGGCGGGGACACACACACACACACACACACACACACACACACACACACACACACACACACACACACACACACACACACACAGAGAGTCTGTCGCCTGTTCCCTAACTCGAAGCCTCTCTTCTGGATCCCTTTCCTCTGGCCTGCCGTTTCTTATAGCTTGCCTTACGACCTAGTCTTCTTGCCATTGGGTGGCCTAGCTTTTTAGCCACCAAGTCCCTACCTCACTTAGATGAGACATTGGATGTCAGATTCTAATGGAGGATGTTAGGTGGAGCCCCTGGGATCATGGATTTGGGGCTAGCTGGTGATTCCGAGAGAGCGAGAGTGGCTTGACCAAGGTCACAAAGGTGGATGAGCCAGAATTTGCACCTGGGTCATCTTACCACAAATTGAGTGCACTCCAGGTGGTGTTTCCTTCTTTAAAAGTCAAGCTAACATTGAATTGAATTAAATTGAATTAATTGAATTGATTTGGAATTGTCATCTGCTAGAAATAGCAAGGTATAGTGGCTAGCAAGCTGACTTGGGTCTTAGCCACCTCCTCTGCATTGACTCATGGCCCCTGAGCAAGTCACCGCCCCTCCCCCTGTTCTCCAGGCCACTCCTTAAGACTACACATTGCTGAGAAGGTGCTGACCTGCAGCAGGAGAGGAGTTTCCTCACCCAGAAGTTGCTTAAACCAGTGAAACCACAAGTAGGTCCATTCTCTGTCCTGTTTACAATGCCGTCCTCATACCCCAAATGGTGGTGCATCTGTACCTGCTGCTGGTTCCATCTGGCCACCAGGCCTCAATAATAGATCTGGGGTTCAGTGCTTGTCAGTTGTGAGACCTGGGGCCTCTTCTGTTTGGGTGGGCCTCATTTTCATCTGCTGTGGCATTAAGGTATTTGTCAGACCTAAACAGATGGAATTTTCAGACCCCTCTGCTTCCTCAGTGGAGTGCCCTCATCTGCTCCTAAGCTTTTATAGGCTCCTGCAGGCTCAGGGTGCCCAAATGAATGTGCACGATTTCCCAGTCCCTCTGAATTTCTTCCTCAAGAGACCAAACCATTTTAATGTCAATTACATGATAACCACATAGTGGCTATGAAAATGAACCATTTCCTTAAAGTAGGAAAGCAAGGTGAAATTGGGAAAATTCCTTAATAGCAAACATTCCCAATACCCATGGCCCAGGCCCAACTAAATCCCCGATCGTGGTCCAGCTCATTAGAGGCCAAGCACCCAGTTCAAATGTTGGGGTAACAAGCTTGGCCTTCACCACAGGAGCTGCAGCCATCTTGCATGAAAGTTTTTGCTTGTCCCAGAAAGGCTGCTCTGCTGCTCCCCCCCAGGACCTGGGTGTCTGGGGGCCCCGCCACTCCCCTTACAGATGGTGCCCCTGTTCATGGCAGGGAGGCCTTCCCAGGGTAGATGGGCAGGTTGTGCCCACACTGTCCCCCAGGCCACCAGGGCTCCCCCATCTTACCTCCTAGGATCCCCAGATTCCTTCCAAGCCCAGCTCAGGCACTGCCTCCTGCAAGTGGCTTTTTCTGATTCTTCCAAATGTTCTCACTCTCACTCTCTTGACCTTATTTGATATTACAAGATTTATACTCTGTGTTGGGTATTCCTGGGACTTTCCACTCAGTAAAATATAAGCTCCCTGAGACCAGGGTCCTTTTCATTTATGTTTTCACATGCCTAGCATCTAGTGCCTGACATATAGTAAGCACTTAATAATTGCTTGTTGGATTGAATTAAGTTAAAAATATATAGTCACGTATGCAAAGCTGAAACATACCTGAGGTGTCATTTATACAGAGAGTGCTTTGCCTAAAGAGACACCATGCCCGTGCTAGGTGCATAATAAATGTGAGTGCAATGGAATTGAATTCTGCAGGTCTGTGAGATGGATGAGTCCCATGATCACAGGCCTAGGAGAGCCATTTCTGATGCCCGCCTAAAGCTTTTCATCCCAGAAAGGGGTAACTCACCTGTTAGTGGCGGTCAGGAGAAGGTCCAGAAGGTGTTTGTGATAGACAGGTATAGAGGGAGGGCATAGGGAGGGAGGCCGAACCCTGCAGTGCCAGAGACACAGTGGCTCATTGAGGTGTAAAGGAAGCAGCGTTAGCTCAGTCAGGCAGCGAGCATGTCTTAAGCCTTTAGCACAAGACAGAGAAACTGAGGAAATGAACATAGGTTGGGAAGAAGCAGCATGACTAAAGGGGCAGCTAGGTGGCTCAGTGGATAGAGCACAGACTCTGGAGTCAGAAGGACCTGACTTCAAATCCAGCCTCAGACACATAACACTCACTAGCTGTGTGACCCTGGGCAGGTCACTTAACCCCATTGCCTAGCCAAAAAATAAAAAAAAGAAGCAGCAGCAGCAGCAGCATGACTAGCCTTTTGCAGGTGGTTATCCAGTCAGTCAGCCAGTCCATGCCCTCATGCCACTGCATGCAGACAGCTTTGTACAAACAAGCTGTTCACGGCATAAAGTCGAAAAGAGAGAAGGCACTAGAATTAAGGGGGGTGGGGAAAGGATTCCTATAGAAGGTGGGATTTTATGCTGAACTTGAAGGCAGCCAGGAGGCAGAGCTGAGGAGGGGGAGCATTCCTGGCATTGTCCCCAGCTGGGAAAAATATATGAAGTATGGAGAAATATCTTGGGGGACCAGCCAGGAGGCCACTGTCACTAGACCCCAGAGTAAAGGGAGGGAAGAAGGTATAAAAAGACGGGGGTGGGGGGCTGTACCTTAGGAAGGGCTTTGAACACCAAGCAGAGGATTTTATACTTGATCTTGGAGGTGATAGGGAGCCACTAGACTTCATTGAGCAGGGGCCTAGGCTTTAATATTCCTTTGGCAGCTGAGTGGAGGATGGTCTGAGATGGGGGGAGACTGAGGCAGGCAGACCTACCAGCAGCTATTGCCCTAGTCTGGATGTGAGGTGACGAGGGCCTGCACCAGGGTGGGGAATGGTGTCAGAGGACAGGAGAGGACAAATGCAAGAGATGTTACCAAGGTGGAATGGATGGTCCCTGGCAGCAGAGAGAATGAAATAAAGGAAGGAATCTTTGAAATAAGAGCTCATGAAGAAGGGTGTATCACGTGGAAGCCATGTTGTATGGTGACAGTTACATGGTGTCTCATCATTAGACACAGTGCTGACCCTCCCAAGCCCACATGGGTCTTCCCCGCCAAGGTCATGTTCTCCTCTCTGTTTCTGCTTGGCACTGGCCGTCATTTAGGTACTCACACATTCCCGCTGTTGGAGCGGAATGCTCTCCAGGGATGGATACAATCCCTCCTTGGAGAAGTTCATCTGCTAATATACACATTTCTCCCAGATGGAACCCATTATAAGATGTCTGTCTCAACACCTCCCCACCTCGCTAGTCTTAATTACCCTGGATCCCTTTCCTCTGGCCTGCCCTGCCCTTCTATAGCTCCTGTTCTCCCACAGCCTCCACTCCTGTCGAAGGACTGGAGGAAATTCTTAGCTGGCGATCTCTGCGTTTGGTCGGGGTGGATCACCAGTTCCCCCTGTCATTCATGTTTCCCCTGTCACTCATCTCCTCTTTCTTCATTCCACCAACTTCTCACTTAGTTATCCCCTCCCATAAAAGGCATTGATTCTGAGGGGGTTCGAGGATTCTGTCTATGTATTACCATTTCAACTTTTCTTCGTTCTCTTCTGATCTTTTAAGTTCCCCTTAATCAGTGTTGAGCCCCTTCAGTCTATTTTGGGTGCCCTTGGGGATTTGGCTTTGTTCATTCTTTTACCCCACAGTTTTTTGTTTTTGGTTTTTTTTTTTTAAGCAGAAGCTTGTCAATGACTGGAGTGATTTCAGTACTTAGCCTTTTCTTGATAATTACCTGTATTTATTTACCTTCTTCTGTTTCTTTTGTCTGGAGTATCGGCAGGTCGGCTCATCACTCCCCTCAGGAAGGTGGTGCTGTTGCTTTGCAGGAATGCCTGAAATGAGGTCTGTTCATTTGAGTTGTGACTTGAGGCCTTTTTATAATCTGCTATTATTCTGTTCTCTGATTTCTCTTCTAAACAGAATCATCCTGGGTTCTCCAAAAGGCCTTTCCTTCATATTTCCACATCTTTCTTCTGGCTGTTTGAATAGTGTATTCATTATTGAAACTATGAAATTGGAGTTACCCACAAACCCCACTCCCCTATCCCCATCCATCTTTGGATTTGATCAACTAATACTTTTTTTTTGACGAAGCAGTCAGGGTTAAGTGACTTGCCCAGGGTCACACAGCTAGTGAGTGTTATGTGTCTGAGGCTGGATTTGAACTCAGGTCCTCCTGACTCCAGGGCCGGTGCTCTATCCACTGCACCACCTAGCTGCCCCTGACCAACTAATACTTTGTTATCTCTATTCAGAAGTTCTGGGCAGAACTTTTTCTATTATATCCTGCAAAATAATATTCAGCTCTTTTTATTTTTCTTTCTGGGGTGCCTGCAATTCTTAAGTTATCTCTGCGTATCCTGTTTGAAAACAGGGCAGTTGACTAGAGGAAGGGGGAGAATTTGGAACTCAAATTTTTTTTAAAAGAATGTTAAAAATAAATGATACTTTTTAAAAAAAATTTTTTAGGCAATTGGGGTTAAGTGACTTGCCCAGGGTCACACAGCTGTTAAGTGTCAAGTGTTTGGTCTGTGGCCAGATTTGAACTCGGGTCCTCCTGACTCCAGGGCCGGTGCTCTATCCACTGTGCCACCTAGCTATCCCTACAGTTTTTAAGAAGGTGACAGGGCAGTCATTTTGGCTAATGTCAGGTTCTTGTGTTCTTCCAATATTACTGGACCTTCTCTTCTGCTAGTTTTCCTCCTATTAAGTATTTTTGTGTTTCAAATCTGTTTTTCTTTCTTTTTGAGCCTCTTTCTTTAGAG